GAATAAAGGAGGCAGAGAGAAAAAGAACTGTTTTCTTTTAGCATTATAGGTATTACTAACTACAAAAGGGAATTTTGTTTCTGAAGGGATTAGTTTGTTTCAAACATAGGTATTATGCAGTTATTAATAGCTTGTTAAAGTAAAACCAAGTCAGAAGGGTAATTTCAAAATGTAATAAAATCAAATGCTCTTAAAAGTAAAATAAACCACTGTTTTTGAATATGCATCAAAACATTCAAAACACCATTACCTACTTGCAGCTTACTCTTCCTTTGGATGCTAACCATGTATTTCTTGAGTTTTAAAATATTACTGCTGTTTTAAATGCCTGTCTGTTGGATATGGGCAGTTTTCTGTAAGAATACAGACAAGTAATTTGTTTCTCTGGGGATACAATTAATGCTAAATATCTGAAAATCTTTCTTGAAATCAGTGTAGAACAGATGCAATTCAGTTCCATAAGCCTGCAATATTAACGTAATGCCAACTATTACAGTTCGGTCAGAGTGATGTTTGGTTGCATAAAAGCTAGCATGAAGGATGCATTCATTTATTGCCAAAGGAAATACAGAAAATGTATTGGAATCAAATGGACTATTTTCTGGTTATTACTTTTGTATAACTCTGTTGGAGCGGACTAAATAACTAAAGTTTATTTCAGTTTTACTAAGTTAAGTAGAAACACCCCCGCTCACCCCTCATCACCACAGTTATTACTCTAATTGTAAAATGAATAAAACTTCTAATAGGTTTTTAGTGCTTCAGAAAATGTTTTCAAGGTTTGTTATTGTTGATCTTGCAGCTAAACAGGTGATTGGGATGTTTCAAAATAGATCGGGGAAAAAGCAGGGATAGGTGACTTTTTTCACTAAATAGCCACTTTATATATTTCAGTGTTTTCTTTGGTTTTCCTACCTATGAATCTACTGCTTAAAAGAATAAGATATTGATTAGAAAGTGTAATGTACTGTATGCAAGATTTGGTGGCATTTATGTTAATCAAAACAGGCTTGCAGAGAAACATAATTGTCAGACCATTACATGAGTTCAGTGAATTAAGAAAAGATGCTTCCTAAACTTGAATTCACTTGCTTTACTTGTTTTGATTCATAGTTATATTAGCTTAACGTGGTTACTTGGATTTGTTGAGCAGTCAAGAATTTGAATAGTAGGAATAACCTTAGAATTAGGGGACTTAACTTTGGAATCTGTAAATGTTTCTTGTTGCTTTATATGTTTTTAGTGTCAAAGATTAAGATAAACAGATAATGATGTGTCTCTTTAGCCTTTAAACACAGATTAATAATCTATTATTCCTAGGGAGTATAGGAAAGATTTAACAGATTATTGAAGAAAGCCATAGGGGTTCAGATATATGCAGCCAACTGTGTATAGTGGTCTATACAAAAAATATTTTTTTATAAATGATGAAATGCCATGAATCATTTTTCTTAGGCAAAGCTTGTTTTTGTCAGCCCAAAGAAGAAAGATACATTATTTGAATTTTAGTAATCTTAAATACTTACTTTTTCCATAGCTGTTACATCTAAGTTTAGACTAGAATTCATGAAAACATGAATAATTGGTTAGTACTCAAGGTTTAATAAAGTTCAGAGCACGTATTAAGAATTGGAAAGAATTTTTTTGTGTTTATGCTGCAAATTAAAGCCAAAATCTATCTTAAATGTACCTACAATGAAATTTCATTGTAGTCAATATGGTGTTTGTCAGTGCAGAACCAGACTGATGACTGAAATTTAATTACCTTCGTGGAGTAATTTGGTTGCAGGGGAAGTCTCTCCTAAGATAGTACCTTAATACTTCAGTAGTATTAAAGTAGGGAACTTAAAAAAGGCTATTTATGAGCAGTTATTTCTAATGCACTTTAAACTGTAATTGAATTAAAAATGACTGCACTAGACTATTTTGACAAATCTTTACCATTGTGCAACATTTAATCATCAAATTTTGCATTTCAATTTTCTAGCATAAAAAAAAAAATTCTCCAAGTAATATATTTTTTTATAACGTTCAAAGAATTGTTCTATTACTACAGTAATAGCTTCAGAGGATAAACTTTCCCAAAAATTAAGCATCTAGGTCAGTAGTAGCAATATTGCTGTTAGTGTTCTACTTCAGTAGTCAGAAAGGGTTTTTTGTTACTTTCAACTTTTGCTAATTAAATTAAGATTTTTCTCATAAGGTAATGATTTATACCTTGTGGTCCAAAATGTGAAGTTTAGACCTTTAATTATTCCCTCATTCAAAAATATTTTAAAAAACTCGTGGGCTTTTTTTGGTGCAAGTAGACAATACCATACTTTTTATTGACATTATAAGCCATTATTTTACTGAGAACCATTAGCTATTTAAAACTTTGTGCATAAATTAAAGAGGAGCTAAATGGATTTGCATTTGTTGCCATTAGTAGCGTTTTAGATTATAGAGGCAATTATTGTGTTCATTACTGTCGAGCAGCCCCTTTGCAAAACTATTGTGGTTGTCTTAGACATTATGTACAAATTTTCCCGTGGAGATTAAAATTTCCAGTGGTGTGTTTAATTTTCTTAACACAGTTGTTTCAAGTAGAACAAATATTATGACAAGCAGAAGAAAATTTGCTGTTCTAATATGGGAAATAGCAATAAAGGTGGAAAATTACTCCAGTTCTTAACTCATCTATTTCTTATATTGTCATAATTATTCTGGTTATGATTATTTTCAAAGGAAAGAAATTGCTTTCTTAGGATGGTATATTTTACAAATGCTTTGATAAAATCACAATGTAGTTAAAATGAAACTTACCCACTTTTCCAGTATTCCGATGAATTTTAGAGGATGTTAGTGAATTTCTACATGAAATATATCTGGATAATTCAACAGTGTTTCATTAGTTTGAGTGCAGAAGTTGTTTAAGTGGAAAGGCACAGAATGAAACTAATTAAGTATATTTCAGTACATTATAGTAACTAATTTTTGAGAAATGGAGAATGCATTTCTATTAAAACTTATTTCTTTGTGTGTCATCTTGAGTAGAGTTTTGCAATTGCCTTCACTTGCTATAGTATCTGAAAATATTAAAATTGACTATGACTAATAGTATGACCTATATTAAAAAGGATGACGTTATTAGTAACAAACTAAATGTTCTTGAGCAAGAGATTTACTGTGTGAAAATTTTTCATCATCAACTTTTTTATTCTCTTAATAACTCTCCAAACACGTTTTTGTTCGATTCCAAACTTAAATTCACATCTGTCTTCATCAATTAGAAAGGTATTAATGCTTTGAATTAGCTGTGTATCAGTGTGCAGTGGACTAAATTTAATGTTTCTGTCCAAAAAGTGGCATTCTTTCCAAAGAGGCTCTTTATTCATTTCTGTTCTGGGGTGGGGTTTTTACAGGGGGTGTAGGGGGAGCTGAGGGGAGAGATAGGCTTTCACTACCATGATACAGGAAAAAAAAGTGTGAGGTAGTGGTTATGCATATTGCAAGACAGTGATTCTTTATTTTATTACAAAAAAAGACCAACTCTAGAAGGCCAGATTAAATCATTCCTTTCACTTTTTAATGGGATTTGGATGAATAGAGTAAAATATGCACTTTGCATTCATTGATAGCATCTTTAGGTTGAGGTAATTGAGTCTTTTTTCCCCTGACTGAATGAATAATGACTTCATCTGATCCTCAGCGAGGCCTGAAACTTAGGCTGCCTTTGTCAACGCAAAAAGATCTGGGCTTTGAAACATGCTCTACTTCCCTGGCTTAATTTTTCTTCATTTTAATCCAAAAACCTATTTTTCTCAATAATTCAAGCATAAACTATGTAGTAGTTGAAGCAGCGGAAATTGCAAGATATTTGTCCTCGTTGTGCTGCTTTTTAAATGCAGCTGATAAATCAGCCGCTGTGGTCTTCAGCTGCCTGGTTCTCTAGGGAAGGGACAGCCCATGTATAAGCAAGATTGCTGGAATTTTTAAGACCTATATTTAAAGTGGTTCTTTTGCAGACTGTTTGTTATCTAAGGAAGTGTTGTGTTTTACTGGTTTTACTGGCAAGACCTGGAGATAAAAGGGGCATCTGTGACGGGGCCTAGGAAACTCTTCCTGACATAATTTTCCCACATATTTTACTGACTACAAGAGCATCCCAAATAGTGGAGTATAAATACTGAGCTTACAGCATACATTATTGAAATGGTGAGAGTCTTAGTTACATAGCTTAAAAATATTTTTTTCATGAGAAACAGTGGATGAAGGATAGCCTCTCTTAATGTTTTTGCTGAAATGTTTCTAAATCAAATACCTTTTTTTACTCATGAAAAGTTGAAGCTCTATTTTACTATTTTGGTTTGAAAATGGATATTCTACTTGTTTGTTGTTGTCTGTTATTATAAAAATTTTTATATTATTATTATGAAAGCTTCATACAGTTAACAATTATTTCTATGAAATTAGTTCAGATTTACAGACCAGTATGGGAGTATAGTTAGAAGTTACAGTACACTAGTTATATGAGTGAGAAGGTAGCTGTCACATTTGTCCATTGATTCTTGAATCTAACAGGTTTTTGATCTTTTAGCAGCAAATAAGCAGTAGCTACGCAACAAATATAATAGAGCCAGTATTTTTGCTGCATGCATGACAGAAGAAAATTGTACCTGCTTATTTGTTCACCTTTAATTGTCTTTTCTCCTGGCCTTCCTGTGATCCTATCCTGGGTCGGGGGATGGGGGACAGATGTGCCAGGCGTAAAGGCATTCAAAAGGCCTGGCTGGGACAGTTCACACTGGTTCTGGGAATTGTTATTGTCCTGTAACCAGGGAACATCTACTGCGTGCAAGCATAGGAACAATAATCAATTATCAAAATGCTGTTAACTGTTACAAGTGCATGGATTTTTAATAGGTAAAAAGAAAAAAAAAAACCCTAATTGTTTGCACAGCAGAAGTGTTGATTCAAGAAAAAGTCATGACTAACTTGATTTATGCTTCTTCCTCTAGGTCGGCTTGCTGGACCTGGAGTTGAATCAACTGACCAAAGCCCTGTTTTTGGCTTTAGTCGCACTATCAGTTGTTATGGTAACCTTGCAAGGATTTGTAGGCCCATGGTATCGCAACCTTTTCCGGTTCCTCCTCCTGTTTTCTTATATCATCCCGATCAGGTATGTATAGGAATGAAAGAAAAACACAGATGTCTAATTTCACTGAATATGGCTTTCTTGAAATCTATACTTGCCACTCATCGCAAAGGAAATTGATCTTATCAGGAAGCTGAAGGAGAAGGGGCCAACAAATCTGCTGATTCTTGAAGGATCACTGTACAGAAAACAATACTGTTGGGGTTGGGTTTTTTTTGCATAATGTTCATCTTGCTGGACTAATCAGGATATCTAATCCTTTACTAGCATAAATGTATTAATAAGGATACAATCTTGGTATATTTGAGAACGTGGTTTGAGGAAACTTATTTGAATGAACTGTTAGGTATATTTTGGAATTTTATTTATAATGTCTTCAATACGGAACGTGTTCCATTTCTCTGGTGAAAATACAGACTTTTTACTAAAACAATGATTAATTTAAATTGAATAGCTGAATAATATAGGTGTGCTTTACAATGAGAGGACTTTTAACATGTGTAACCAAGTAGAGACTTGCCCTGAATTAATTAATTCATTAAGCATGAGTACTGTATGTTCAAATTGCAGATAAACTAGAACGGGAAATAATATCCATGTGTGTAATCAAGTCTTCTGTGGACACAGCAGTGAGAACACTGACTCTGAAATGAATTTTTTTCCTTGAATGGGTATTGCCTTTGCAAAATGGAAATACTCTCTCCTGTTAAAACACCCAGTGTTTAGATTAAGGTGATTGTTAATTTTAGATGCTGTCTGGAACTCTTCAGTTTGAGAAACGTCATTTGCTAAGCCCAGCAGCTAGCCACAGAGTTAGCAGCAACTAAACCATAAATAGATTTAAGACCTATCCCCTCAAGTTTGCACACAGTATTTAAATCCATGTAGTATAAGAAGGAAAAAAAAAATAGGATTACATTAGGTATTTTAATCTAAGCTTACATGACTTATGTGTTACTGTGTTCTCATTTTTTAAGTACATGTCTATGTGAAAGGAACTGTATCACATCTGACCAATTTCATACTTGGGAAATACCTGTCTTAAGGTTTTATAACTTAAAGGACTTAATGTTTTTATACTACTTTTGTGTTGCAAGAGCAGCTGATTCTGTTTGGAAGTTGAAGGAGAAGGTTCCAGCAAATCTGCTGGGGAGTTGAGGAGATCTCATTGTAGAGACTGGTCATCTTAGAACAGTTTCCACTTCCTTTAATGGGCTCTTGTTTTTTGTTTACACATTTGTGATTCAAGTTTGTGGTATCTCTCTAAACACTGTCATTGTCATAATTCCCTTACTGCTTGTATGATGATGCTGTTCGGGTTGTGTTGTCATCCCCGCCCCCCCTCAGTTGTTAAGCAACTTATCCCTGTGAAGAGGCAAAAAATGTTGCATTCAAGTCCTAAGTAAAGTCTGCATATTGCTGAAAGATGCACTTAATCATCACAGACACATAGGGGAAGGGGAAAATGAGCTAAGAGTATAAAGGATCACTTGTCAGTCACTGTGTTCTTCCATAATAAATATACTAAGCCAAAATTTATTAAAATGGTTAAAAGACAGATATATCTTTGTTGCTGGATGCAAGAGGATTAAGAGCATATAGGTGGTGTAAGTAAATTTGACTCTATATTGACAGTTCAACATATGCTACTGAAAAAGATGTTGATTGAGCAGCTCATTTTCAACTTAGGAGTTGTTTAACGGACTTGTGGAGTAGTTCTTTTCCAAAAAATAATTTCTAGGATACACCTAATCCCATTTTTCAATTGCTTGTGGAGGTAATACACAGAAAGGAGGTATTAGAGAATGTGATGGGTTTAGTTCTGAGATGGACTGTATAGTACCTCTATGGAAGATCAGACAGGAGTTTATCAGAAAATGATTTTCTAGAGGTTTTTCTATTTCTATATCAACTTTTCTTCAACTTGGGTCATTCATGTACAGGTTTGCTTCCCACACTGTCAGCAAAACGAACAACTCCAGTCATGTCTGTGTACAAATATAACTACACTTCTCTTCCTCTCTTCTGGATATTAAGCATGGAAATGACTTACTCTTTAGGCTGTATTTGGAGTGTAAAGTCTTGGAGATGAAAATTACCAGACTAATGACACTGAAGTGCCAGGTGTTGTGTCCTCTTACTTTTAAAATAGATATATGGGGGAAATAACGAACTTTTCACAGGTAAAGGAAATGAACATGGAGATTAGGACTGACTGGTAGAGGCAAAGCATATCTGAACTCATGCACACATTAAATGTGTTGATTGATGGTTTTAGAGAATTCAGGAAGTTTCAAATATGGAGCTTTTTTGCAGTTGTGTTTGGCTTTAGGCTTGCAGGGCAAGGGAAATTCCAGGTATGCAATAAAAATAATTTTCCGTGGCCAGATGTGTTTGGTGAAGATCATCAGGAGGAGGTAACTCACTGTTAGCAGAGTTTAACTGATCTCTGTGTAGGCTCTTCTATAATTAATAGGAAAAGGAACTTTCTTCTGCTCTGGGGAGCAGCTAGTTCCTTATGATTCAGCTGCATCCTAACTACTCCTCTAGATCAATGTTGCTTCGTTGTGTGGAGGGTATTACTGTGAGGCATGTAAGAATTCAGAACATAAGCAACTGTAAAAAAAAAAGACTCCAATGCAACCAAACAAAAAATATCCCAACAACCAACATCCATCTCCAAAAAAGACAACCCCAGTCCACAACATTGCACACATTCTGTAGTGTACAAGAAATCAAGCTAAGTGGAGAAAAAGTAGTAGTAAACAAACATTGAAAGCTTAGTCTAGGTCTTAACTGATTGTAAGTTAGAATCATTATGCACAAAATGTTTTAAAGGGCCTCACACCCCCAGAAACATTTGGCCCTTAAAAATTATTATTCTTCTGTAATTGATTTTTCTTTTTTCCCCTATGGAGGAAGCATAGTTCAGGGAGCCTCCATACAATCTGCCTCCTTACAAAGTTAATCTATTTGAATTTTGTAAAATGTATTGGGAAAGGAGGATAGAAAGCAAGTCCTTAACAGACTGACCAAAACTAAATAAATCTCTCTAGGATTATGCTCACCCATTCTCTGAGTTTTTCCATGTTCCTTGATATTCTAGTTGGCTCTAGCCAGTTTGAGATGCATTAATGCCTATCCATAGGTTTCTCCATTGTCATGTAGACCATTTCATTACTTGTTTTGAATAAAATCATTGATTGAAATACATTCTCCATTAGTTGACAAGATCTTGTCTGACGCTATCACTTACTGCAGTTATCATATAGGCTGGGGGGAGCATGTGTACTCAGATATATCCATGCTGCTGCTCTTTAATACTAGCATGGCAGTTCTTAGGTCTCTCTTTTTTTTGTTTTTTTTTTAATAGTAAGGTCATTTTGTTGATGAACTTACATTTTTTTTTTTGATTGTCTATTTTCTGAATGACAAGGGGCAGAGGGCAAAACCAGTCACACTAATGAAAAGTCAGCACCTCAGGTTGGGGAAGATGAGGTAAAGCTTTGTCATCATTACATCTTTTACCTGGTTACCCAGTTTAACTCTATTGCTGTTGTTATAGATTCTTTTTAATTGTATATCTTTTTAAAATGAGGCTTACATTTTTTATCAGGAGAGTTTAATTTCTCTTTTGTGTGGAACTGAAGACATTTACCATACACATTTAAAATTCTGATACAAATCATGTAAGTCTTGAGGAGTTTTTCTTCAATTTTTGCAGCTATTAATTTGATCAGTTGTTTTAATTTTTTTGAAAAAGCTGTCAGACAGTTACCAATATTTGTATTTTTAAGTACAAGAGAATAGAAGAGACTTCAAGCAATATGGGATGCAAGATACCCACTCTCAGGTACTGAGCTGAAAATCCTGGGGTGTGTGTATGGGTGCAGGAAAGATGATTGGGTTGTTAGACAGCCTTGCCACAAAGCAATTCTGTCCTTTCTCCTGGCATTTAGTTGTAGCACCTCCATCAGCTCACTTGAACTGCCATAGTAATCAGTTCAGAAATGACAGCCAAGGCCAAAGAAAAGGCTAGCCTTAGTGACAGTACTGCACCACCAAACTGGATCTCCTCTACCACTAAGTAATGGGACTTTGTTTATTCATTGCCCAGTTGTCTTCAACACCTTGAAGGACAAAGTGAGTTGCACTTCGACTTCAGTCCTTTTGTTTGGTTTTTTATTTTTCCAAAAAAAAATGTAGCCAGGAAAGTTTTTCAAGATAATTTCAGTTTAACTAAGCAGCATTTGGTGAAATTACTGCCTCACGTATACAGGCATGTGAATACTGTAGCTGTACATGCTTCCACTTAACTGTTGAGAAGTGTAGAGGATTTACCATAAAATGATAAGGTATTGACTGGAGGTCTGGTAAAAATGTGTATCATCCAGACTCTATACTTAGTAGCAGTTTAAAGATGGATTGACAAGGGGCTTCATCAGCCATCTTTTTAAGAGGATCCTTTAGTTTTGATGTTCACAGAAGCTGAAATGTGTTTTGTCCTTTCCTTCAGAAACCCCAAGGCTCCTGGGCACCGAGCCATTCTGCCAAAATAAGCTGTCCCAAACGTCTGGAAGGAACTGCCTTGCACTTCAGTAGTAAGGTTTTGGGGCACTACCTGGCCCCAGCTGCTTTTTTCTGCGTCTTTAAGAAGAAACTTGAAAGAAAAATCTTCACGTTATGTCAGTCTGTTTTCAGTGGGCAGTGAGGAGAACACTGCTAGGAGGTCTTGTATCTGAAATTCATTATTATCCAATCAAATCCCAGATCATACAAATATGAAAAAAGTTTTATTTAGTGTGCTTCTGTGTATTCGTGAGATCCAGGGAACTCTCACCTGTGCAGGACATAGTCGGATAGTGCGTATCCGACAGCAGCAAGCAGCTATGCCGGTTTCAATCATATTGTAGTTTGTGCTGTCCGTGTTGGAGCTCTAATCTGTATAATGTATAGATGTGAGAGTATCAGTATATGTAATCTCACATATACAGGCAGAATATATATTAGATATATGATGCAAA